AATCAATTTAACAAAAATTCATTATCAACTATGAAATAAAAAGGTAGTAGTAATTCTGTCATTCAAGATTATTTGGGCTCATTTGACTTTCTGTCTTCTGGTTTGGCAGAATGAGAAGTTAAAACATATAAATATCTGAAGAAATTAATATGAAAAATGTGGAGGAGCAACAGGTAGTTTCAGAAATATTTTAAGTTGAGTAACTTACAGGATTAAAACACAAGTGGAAACAAACTGTTCCATTGAACATACGTATCTAATTCCATTTTATTTTTATCAGATTAAGTTTCAGAAGTCTGATCTGAAATGAGCATGCACAACTAAACACATACTTTCATGCATAATGATTTATTAACATAGGCTTACACAGAATGTTGCTATTAAAATTGAGACAGGTGGAAGTGAACCCACTATAACCCACTTTATAACCTGCCAAATGCATTTCTATGGTCTCCGATTTCACTTGAATGTAATAATTCTTTTCTGGCCCAAAGGGATGAAAACAGCTGCTTCCCAGTACATTTAGAAATATGCAATCTCTCTTCAGCAGCGAAACAGCCACAAGTTCTCCAAGCAGACTCCTGCTGGGTGATGAACACATACAGGTAGAAGAGTGTATAGGATACCTCTGACAGCTGGGATCAGCCACTCTCACAGAATTGTTGAACAGTTTTGTTCCTAAGCATCAGCACCGAGCCAGTCTGAGCCCCTAGACCTCTCTGCTGCCAACAGACAGCTGAGTCCACGCACTTACCCCACTGGGTACTCCCAGCTTTTCCAATTAAATCTGGGGTTTTTACCTTAAATATGGCTTTTCCTGCAAGAAACCCCTGTTTTTCCAGTAAATAAGGCTTTTCCTATAAGAAATCCCTGCTTTTCCCCTTAAATCTGGGGTTTTTCACCTGAAATATGGCTTTCCCTGCTACAAATCCCTGCTTTTCCATTAAATATGGCTTTTTTGAGAAGAAAACCCTGTTTTTCCCATTAAATCTGGGGTTTTTCCCATTAAACCTGGGATTTTTCCCATTAAATCTGGGATTTTTCCGGTAGAAATCTCTGTTTTTCCCATTAAATATGACAATTCCTGCAAGAAATCCCGTTTTCTCCTATTAAATCTCTGTTTTTTCCCCTTAAATATGGCTTTTCCTGCAAGAAACACCTGTTATTCCCCTTAAATCTGGGTTTTTTTCCCTTAAATAAGGCTTTTTCTCCTAGAAATCCCTGCTTTTACCCTGAAATATGGCTTTTCCTGTAAGAAATCCTCGCTGTTCCAATTAAATCTGGGGTTTTTCCCCTTAAATATGGCTTTTCCTTCAAGATATCCCGGTTTTACCCCTTAAAACTGTTTTTTTTCCTCTGAAATATGGCTTTTCCTGCAAGAAATCCCTGCTTTCCTCCTTAAATCTGGGTTTTTTCCCCCCAAAATGGGATTTTTCACCGTAAATATGGCTTTTTCTGCTACAAATCCCTGCTTTTCCATTAAATATGGCTTTTCCTGCAAGAAATCCCTGTTTTTCCCCTTAAATCTAGTGTTTTTCCATTTAAATATGGCTTTTTCTTCTAGAAATACTTGCTTTTACATGAAATCTGGGGTTTTTCCCCCTTAAATACGGCTTTCTTTCCTAGAAATCCCTGTTTGTCGCTTTGAATGTGGTGTTTTATCACAGAAATCCCTGTTTTTCCATTAAATCTGGGGTTTTCTAACAGAAATCCCTGCTTTTCCTTTAAATATGGCTTTTCCGGCAAGAAACCCGTTTTTCCCCTTAAATCTGGGGATTTATCACAGAAATCCCTGCTATTCGCCTTAAATCTGGGGTTTTTCAACTGAAATATGGCTTTCCCTGCTACAAATCCCTGCTTTTCCATTAAATATGCCTTTTTCGAGAAGAAAATCCAGTTTTTCCTATTAAATCTGGGGATTTTCCCTTTAAAAATGGGGTTTTTCTGCTAGAAAACCCTGTTTTTCCCATAATACATGGCTTTTCCTGCAAGAAATCCCGTTTACTCCTATTAAATCAGTGTTTTTTACCCTTAAATACGGCTTTTCCTGCAAGCAAACCCCGCTTTTCCCATTAAATCTGGGGGCACTGCCCTTAAATATGGCTTTTCCTGCAATAAATCCCTGCTATACCCCTTAAACTGGGGGTTTTCCCTTTTCAATAAGCCTTTATCCCCTAGAAATCCCTGTTTTTCCCCTTAAATCTGGGGTTTCCTAACAGAAACGTGCCGTGCTCCTGACTGATGGCAGTCCGAAAATCTCCCTCTCCCTCCCCCCAGCCCACGAAGGCAGCAGTTCTCCCAAGCAACCAACACAATCACACACAACTGCAGCCCTGGCTCGTCCCGACAACGGACGTCCAGACGAAGCACATCTTCACAAACCTTCTGCCAGCTCCGCACCCTCCGGCCAACACAGCGCCCGGGCGCCTTGCTCCACTGCCCGCCCGGGCTTTGCTGGCGACAACTCGGCCCTACGGGGCCTCCTCCTTCACACGCCCCAAACACCAACACAGCTCCGCACTCGCACGGCCTTCCCTGAGAGGAAGCCGCCCCCCGACCCCGCACCACCCGCCGGCGCCGCACGCATCGCCTCTGCGTGCCGGCAGCACCGCCAGCTCCTCCCCCGAGCGCCCCTCCATGGCCCCGCACCGAGGCCCGACCCCGTTCCCAGCACACAGCCCGCTCCTCCCGGCCCCGCTCACCGGCCCGGCGCCGCCATGCCGCGCTGCCCCGGAAGTGCTCTCCGCCGCCAGGAACCACTTCCTGCCCCGGCCCTACCAACCGCCTGCGGCGTCGCGTTGCTGAGGGCGGCCTGGGGGCGGCCCGGGGCCTGGAGGAGGGGGACGGGCAGCTGGCGGGGTCCGCTGCCGGATTCCCCTCGGGTGGCGCCGGCGGCACGCAACTTGTCTTCTTCTCCTTTTCTGCCTTTTCCCTTTTCCCCCTTTGGCTTTTCTTTGCCTTGCTTCTCTTTTCTCTTCCTTTCCTTTTCTCTTTCTCTCTTCCCCTTCACATTTCCCTTTCTCTTTCCTTTCATTTCTTACTGTCGTCCCCTTCCCTCCCCTCCTCCCCATTCCCCTCCCCTCCCCTCCGTTTGCTTTCTGTCCACACTCAGTCTGCACATCTGCAATGGACATGCCTGGAGAAGATCACCTATGCAGGCAATAAATGGCTTGTGCTGTGCTTCACCGCTTTGTGCTCTTGAAAGACTGATTTGTTTTGCCCTTTCCTAACCCCCAGGTCTCAGGAGGGCTCGGCTGGCTTTGCTGCGGAGCCTTATCACCCCACAGTCTGAAGACTTGGGGGAAAAGCCCAGCAGCTCCGTAGCTGCCAAGGGAAGACTTCATGCCCTGGCCTTCACACAGCCCGCCTCTCCCCGCTCTGCTCTGCGCTCCTGCCATCCCCTGCAGCCCCTGTGCTGCGGCAAACACGAGCGCGGCTCGGGCCCAACGCCCTCCCTGCTGCACGCCCTCTCACGGCCCCATGTGCTGCAGCCACACCACTGCCCCAGCCCCGCAGCCCTCCTGCCCGCAGCGCAGCCCCACGCACCGGGCTCGGCCCCAGCCCCGAGGAGCTGATGGAGGCGACTCAGCCCCGCTGCATCCACACCCAAACCTCACACGCACTAACCGCTCCTCAATACTCCGTTTCCCTCCTTTGCAGCCAGCTCCTTGGCTGCACGCAGCCCCACAATCCGCTCTTTCCTCTCCAGCAGTGAAGCACGCAGGCAGGCAGCAGAAGGCAGGGCCGCGTAGCACGCTGGACCGAGAAGGAGCCGGAGGGCACAGCCCGCCCCGCGGGCTGCTTCTGCTAACACGGATTTGTCAGGCAGGAGCAACCCCTCGCCAGCACAAGCAGCAGCATCCCCCAGTGAGGCTGCAGTTACTGAATCGAGGGAAATCCTTTCGTGCTGATAAAACTGCCATCACAGAACTGCTCGGTCAGAGGGGTGAAAAGGAGGGAGCCCAGCAGGCAAGATGGAACAGCTCCCTGCACAGCCCTCCCATCCCGTGGGACAGAGCAGCCTGGGGAGGAACAGGGCTCTCGGAGCGCTGCACGCTGCTGATGCCGCTCCCAGTACTGAGCTGAGCACACAAAGGAAATGCAGCACAAGACAACGTGCATCACTTCTTAACGTGGGCTGTGGCATTCTGCAGAGCGCAGGCACATTTCGGTACAAGGCAGAGCTGTGTCTGCCACATGGGACTAACTGGGGACACAAACACTGGGCACAAATTCTTCAACTCTGCATGCAGTTACAAGACCTTTTCAAGGCTACTGAAAAACATTTTCTTTCTTATTTCGGAGGAACCAGATAACATTTAACATAACATTTTTATCTTTAATAACACGCACAGAAAAATGACGAGAGCAAGGATCAGATGAAAGCAGCTCCTGAACTGCGACAGCTGAGAGATGCAACAGAGCCTCGATGTCTGCATTCAGGCACAGCACCTCTGTCGCTGCCTGAGACAACAAAGAGACGTGATGGAAAAACACTCCAACCTCTGAGGCAATTATAAGCATGCAGCAGATGTATTTTCAGTGAATCACTGTTCAGAGAAAGCAGCAGAGAGGTAAAACGCCCTACAAAGGTTCTACTTTTTGAAGGAAAAAAAACAAAAAACAATTGTGACAATAACTGAATTCCTTACAAGACAAGGAAAAACCAGACAAAAGCCATCACTGATGACACTTTTTAAATTTAATGTGACCAGACTTTTTCAAGTAACTTAGAAAATAAGAGAGAACAACAGGACAGGAAGGTTTCATATTTAGTCATTCATACAGACAACAAGAACACCTGCTTTGGTTCCTCCAAAACATCGCAGAAGTGGCACAGCAGAGTTAATACCAGAGCTCTACTCTTTAGCATTAAATTAAAAAAAAGAAAGTTGGGCAAAGGGAAAAAAGCAGATCAAGTGAGTGCAATTATTCACTTGGATTCTGGATGCCAATCATGAAGTAGTCTTTATCTGGAAGGGAAAAGAAAAAAAAACAAATTATTCTCTCATTGTTGATACTTATTCACAAAGAAAAGCATCCCTGTTGCTCAATACAGGAACTTCCAGCTTTGTCTCTTTCTGGTATCTCACTGACACGCTGTCCTGACATTCATCCCCAGTGATCAGAACAGGTTTGACGTGTTGGATCCCTTATCTGAGTCTCGTGGTGGAAAAGTCTCACGTGCTCAAGAGCCACATTTAACACCGTTCATCCCTAATAAGTGAGAATAACTGACACGTGCAATGATTGAAGCAAACCAGGCAGCGCAAGACAGCGATTTCCCATATCTCACAGCCAGGCTGCAGGACCGAAGGGGTTCCAGCTGCGTTTGTTCTGGAGTAATGGTTATTTCTCTTTCCACCTTTCGTATGGAAATGAGGGGATGCACCAGCACAAACCCCAGAGCCTCTTCCCCAAGCACTGCTCCCACCAGCTCCTGCACAGCTGCCTGCTGGAGCACCAGCCTCCTTCTTTGCCTCCCCACCAGCAGAATGCCACTACAGTCCAAAGGAACAAAGCTGAGTTCTTGCACCATTAATGCAACTCATCCCTGTTTCATAGCTGGCCGAAATGCCCAGGAGTATCTCCAGAAAGAAGGCTGCTGCCACATTCTGTGACCCAGTACAGCTACAAGTTAAAATCCTTTCCTCTGAGCCAGAAGTGGAACGAGTACTCACAGGTACTGAGTGAGCCAGCCAGGACAGAAGCCCTCCTGCACTTCAGCTACGAAGAGGGAAGGCCCTATGGGAGCTGTGACAGCAGGCAGCCGTCGTGGCCACAGGGATCATGAAGTGGTTGAGTTCAAAATTTTTAGTGCAAGGAGGAAAAAAAAAGGCAGAATTGCCACCACGAACTTTTAAAGAGAGCAAACTTTAAGCTTCTCAGGGAGCAAATTAGCAGTGTCCCCTACAATTCTGCTCTCCAGTATCCAGGGGCCCACGAGAGCTAGTCACTTCTCAAGAAACACCTTTCAAAAGCCTGGGAGCAGGCAATCTCACTGTGCCATGTGCCAAGCAAGCGGGGCAGCTGGCCTGGATGAAGAGGGAACACCTGGAACTGGGGCAAAACAAGAAAGCACACAGCATCTGGAAGCAAGGTCTGGTTTCAGAGGGAAAGTACAGAGCTGCAGTTCGGATCTGCAGGGAGAAAACAAGAAAAGCCAAAGCTGTGCTTGAGTTGATGCTGAGCAGTGTGGTGTGAGACAACAAAAAGGCTTTTGCAGGTTTGTCAGCAGCAAGAGGAGGTCAAAGGAAAACAGGGGACTGATACTTGGGGTGAAAGGTCACCTCACAGGTGGAGACGTCTAACGCCTTTTCTGCCTCAGCATTTAACAACAGCAACAGATCTTGGTTTGCCTGGACCTCTCGGTTGGAGGACATCACAGGGGAAGCAGTAACTTTCAATGAGCAGACATTACAATTGTAGGGATGCAGCTGTACCAGCTGAACGGCCATGGTCCATGGAGTTTGGCAGGACTTGCTTCTGAGGGAATTAGCAGATGTTACAGCTAAGTGGCTGGAGCAGCTCAGTGGGAAGGGACTGAGGGCGCTGGTGGCAGCAGGCTCAGCAAGAGCCAGCAGTGTGCCCTGGCAGCTGAGAGGCAAACGTTTTGGGGTGTATTACACAAAGCACAACCAACAGGTCAAAAGAGGTGATTCTTCCACAATATTTAGCACTGGTGTGGCCTCAGCTGTGGCCTCACTGTGTACAGCTCTGGGCTCCACAACATAGCAGGGTTATTGAGGTTCTTGGAAGCATGCTGAGGAGGACACAGAGCAGCAGGGAGACGAGTGCTGTGAGGAGAGCCCGAGGGCACTGGGGTTGCCTGGTCTGAAGAACAGGAGGCTGAGAGGCGGCCTCACCGTGCCCTGCAGCCCCTGAGGAGGGGGAGCAGAGGGAGCAGCTGGGATCTGCTGCTGGGAACCAAGGACGGGACGTGCAGTGACGGTCCAACCTTGTGCCAGTTCCCAATTGAACTGTCCCATGTCAATGCATGACACTGGTTTGTAAGTTCAGCACTCAGCGAGGTGAAACCGGTCTCGAAACATTTCCTTCCGACTTTCTGGATTCCATATTGAAAAACACAAAGCCTGAGAGGCTGCAACACGCTGTCAAATGCTAATTAACCATTTCTACTCCGAGAAAATTAAACGAGGAAAGTGATTTCGCACACTGCGGCATGAAAAAGCAAACTAAGGTCAGTGATAAAATTTCCAACTGAAGAAAGCAATGAAGGGCAAAGCCTTTGGAAAAGAGCAGAGTAGGTAACATGAATAAAAGCAGCATGCAGAACGCATTTCTCAGGCTCACAGCATCTCTACCGCAGAGAAGCCAACAGGTGACTCTGGCAGACCTCACGAGAGAACTATCTGCTGGGTGCTTTCAGCCTGCTTCCTCTTACCTGGAGCAACCATGATCTCATTTTTCTTGGTGCGGATCCGCAGGAAGGTGAGGTCATTTTGGGGATCGATGTTTCGAACGGCGCTCCTTGCCTTCATGATGAAGCTGTGCATTAGGCCAACATACTGAATGGTTGTGGTGTTGTCCATAGTGCTTCTGATAGGAATACCTGCAAGAAGCCACCACGGGGACAGCAAGGGTCAGTAACACAGCTTTTGAACCAACTCCCTCCACGTATCACCGTATCCAACTGCAGTGGCCAGTGAACCTGACTATGGGTCAGAGAGCTAAAACAGGGGGGTGGGAGCAGGAGTGCTCTTTTGAAAGCTTAAAAGAAGAGCATGAACAGAAATAAGACAGAGAGGTTAAGTTCTGCAACCACACATGAAGGTGAGAATAACCGCTTCCCTCTACTAGCCTCTGTGGTTTCCTTTTGCTTTGCCAGTTATTCATCTCAGATGTATAAACAGATAAATAAAAACAAAAATAAGTGTTTTAGGGGGAGAGTGGAAACGTCTGCCATGTTTTCTAAGGATTATTTCTAGAAAACATTTGGCTTAAACTGACACACAATTTTAACAAGCTGAGCTTAAGTACAGGAAAATCTCTGCTGAGAGAGACATCAACTGCAACTCCTTAAAAAGCACGAGCGGTGTAAGTTATGATCTGAGAAAACAGACTGACAGTACCATCAGAATTAGCAACAATGAGTCCTTGCACTCCTTTGTGGCTCTGAATTCGCTTCAGCGTTTCTTCTACCTCAGCCTGCAAAAAACAGAAAGCGCAAATCAAAAGATCACAGGTGCTGGTTGCCTTCAACTAAAGCCTCACAACAATGTGCCTGACAGTAAAGATGCACAAAGATGACACACAGACACGGCCTGCACCTTTCCAGAAAGCACTGCGTGCTTCAGTACTATTTTCTCTGCCTGGTCTTTTTAGTTGGTTTCCACTCATTTTGGATATCAGGGGGAAGTTCTTTCCAGAGAGAGTGGTGAGGTGCTGGAGCAGCTGCCCAGAGAGGCTGCGGGTGCCCCATCTCTGCAGGTGTTCAAAACCACGTTGGATGGAGCCCTGGGCAGCCTGGTCTGGTGCCAGATCTGGAGGTCGGTGGTGCTGCCTGTGGCAGGGGTTGGAACTTGATGATCCTGATGGGCTTTTTCCCAACCCAAGCCATCCTATGATCCGCGCTCTTTATTTAGAATTATTGTTGGTGTAGGGATCACTACTTTGGAAAATCAACTCCCCCAGAGCTAAAAGAAAAAAAGATGACTGAAGGCCCAAGCATCGGTTTTTATGTTTTTGGTTCCCTGTAAAGGAAACAGAGGCGTGCTGCACATTTCAGATCCTGCAAGACCTGGCACAGAACAAAAGAATCAGCTAAAGTCATGGGAAAGGCCAGAGCTACAGGGGGCACCTGGCAACGGGGCTGCATTTGTCAGGCACCGTGAGTAACCCCCTGCCCACCTCCCCAGCTGGGAGAGGTGATTTGTGTCAGCAAAAAAAAGCATTAGTTCAGCCTAAGAACTGCCAGCAAACCTTCCACGGGGCTTTGGGAGCTTTCAGAGTAATGCAGACTGCTGCTATGATCACACAGCACCACCTGAGCTTGTTTTGACAAAGCAGAATTATTATCCCACACATCAAAAAAAAAAATCAAAAAACTGTAATTGCTTTGGCGGAGGCCTTGATTTCTTCTGAATGCTGGACTGCTTCCACTTGGGAGACAAGGAAAGAGAAAAAAAGCCCAGATAACTACAGGGTGTGAAAATGCTGAGTGACAAACAGCGGCTCTGTTCAGATGGAACTATCTGTTTCATCTGAAAACCCGTCCTGTCTTCTTCATAAATGCACCTGAGCTCAAAGTCATCAAATACCTAAACAGATCTCAACAAATCTGCTTGGGTGCCAAGAAGCATCCAGACAGAACTACGCTGACTTTGAATCTCCTCTACCAACCAGCAGTTAACCCAACTCAGAGGAGGGGGAGCAGCTCTGGCAGCTCACAGCTGTTTGTTCAGGGATGTCTTCCGGAGCTGCACACAGAGGAGACTCCTCCCCAACACCTCACTCAGCCCCTGCCATCCACCGGGCCAACAAAAACATCACCCAGAAAAACATCACGAACTGAATCCGAGCAGCAAACAAAACCTTAATCCCTGAGGAGCGGCCCCGGCCCGACCGCATCACTCACCATCGCGACCCGCCGCCTCAACTCCCAGTAACGCCCACTAACGGCCCGCGCGCATGCGCAGCCGGCTCCACGAATCAGAGGCCAGGGCGCGCTGCTGACCCGGAAGCACTCCTTCTGAGAAGGGTCAACCGCGCCGCCGCGGTAACTGTCGGGCCCGGCGGCCGGCCCAGAATCCCCGGCGTTCACACATCGCAGCGGTGCAGGGCAGCGCCGCGGCCTTCCCCCGCACGGCTTTGGTTGGTGCCGGCCGCCCCAGCGCCCCCCCGCGGCTCCCAGCAGCTCCCTAGCGATTCCGGCGGCGCAGTTCCCGCGCCAGCAGGCCCGGGCCGCGCTCGAAACCGAAGCCGCGCAGCACGGCCTGACGAGCGGCCCCTGCCCGCCCGCATCTCTCACCATCACGACCCGCCGCCTCAACTCCCAGTAACGCCCACTAACGCCCCGCGCGCATGCGCCCCCGGTGCCACCAATCAGAGGCCAGGGCGCGCTGCTGACCCGGAAGCACTCCTTCTGAGAGGGGTCAACCGCGGCGACGCAGTAACGGTCGGGCTCGGCGGCCGGCCCAGAATCCCCGGCGTTCACACATCGCAGCGGTGCAGGGCAGCGCCGCGGCCTTCCCCCGCACGGCTTTGGGCGGTGCCGGCCGGCCCAGCGCCCCCACGCGCCCCGCAGCAGCTCCATAGCGATCCCGGCGGCGCAGTTCCCGCCCCAGCAGGCCCGGGCCGCGCTCAGCACCGGAGCCGCGCAGCACGGCCTGAGGAGCTGCCCCGGCCCCACCGCATCTCTCACCATGGCGACCCGCCGCCTCAACGCCCACTAACGCCCCGCGCGCATGCGCCGCCGGCTCCACCAATCAGAGGCCACGGCGCGCTGCTGACCCGGAAGCACTCGTTCTGAGAGGGGTCAACCGCGGCGACGCGGTAACTGTCGGGCCCGGCGGCCGGCCCAGAATCCCAGGCGTTCACACATCGCAGCGGTGCAGGGCAGCGCCGCGGCCTTCCTCCGCACGGCTTTGGGCGGTGCCGGCCGCCCCAGATCCCCGCGTCCCCCAGCAGCTCCCTAGCGATCCCGGCGGCGCAGTTCCCGCCCCAGCAGGCCCGGACCGCGCTCAGCACCGGAGCCGCGCAGCACGGCCTGAGGAGCTGCCCCGACCCCACCGCATCTCTCACCATGGCGACCCGCCGCCTCAACGCCCACTAACGCCCCGCGCGCATGCGCTGCCAGCGCCACCAATCAGAGGCCACGGCGCGCTGCTGACCCGAAGGCACTCGTTCTGAGAGGGGTCAACCGCGGCGACGCGGTAACGGTCGGGCCGGCGGCCGGCCCAGAATCCCTGGCGTTCACACATCGCAGCGGTGCAGGGCAGCGCCGCGGCCTTCCCCCGCACGGCTTTGGGCGGTGCCGGCCGGCCCAGCGACCCCACGCGCCCCGCAGCAGCTCCATAGCGATCCCGGCGGCGCAGTTCCCGCCCCAGCAGGCCCGGGCCGCGCTCAGCACCGGAGCCGCGCAGCACGGCCTGAGGAGCTGCCCCTGCCCGACCGCATCTCTCACCATGGCGACCCGCCGCCTCAAGGCCCACTAACGCCCCGCGCGCATGCGCCGCCGGCTCCACCAATCAGAGGCCACGGCGCGCTGCTGACCCGAAAGCACTCGTTCTGAGAGGGGTCAACCGCGGCGACGCGGTAACGGTCGGGCCGGCGGCCGGCCCAGAATCCCCGGCGTTCACATATCGCAGCGGTGCATGGCAGCGCCACGGCCTTCCCCGCACGGCTTCGGGCGGTGCCGGCCGCCCCAGAGCCCCCACGCGCCCCGCAGCAGCTCCCTAGCGATCCCGGCGGCGCAGTTCCCGCCCCAGCAGGCCCGGGCCGCGCTCAAAACCAAAGCCGCGCAGCACGGCCTGAGGAGCTGCCCCGGCCCCACCGCATCTCTCACCATGGCGACCCGCCGCCTCAACGCCCACTAACGCCCCGCGCGCATGCGCCGCCGGCTCCACCAATCAGAGGCCACGGCGCGCTGCTGACCCGGTAGCACTCGTTCTGAGAGGGGTCAACCGCGGCGACGCGGTAACGGTCGGGCCCGGCGGCCGGCCCAGAATCCCTGGCGTTCACATATCGCAGCGGTGCAGGGCAGCGCCGCGGCCTTCCTCCGCACGGCTTTGGGCGGTGCCGGCCGCCCCAGATCCCCGCGTCCCGCAGCAGCTCCATAGCGATCCCGGCGGCGCAGTTCCCGCCCCAGCAGGCCCGGACCGCGCTGAAAACCGAAGCCGCGCAGCACGGCCTGAGGAGCTGCCCCGGCCCGACCGCATCTCTCACCATGGCGACCCGCCGCCTCAACGCCCACTAACGCCCCGCGCGCATGCGCCGCCGGCTCCACCAATCAGAGGCCACGGCGCGCTGCTGACCCGAAGGCACTCGTTCTGAGAGGGTGCCTTTGGTGACACCTCCGAGGAAGCATTCCAGCTGATCCCAGTGTCCTGTGGGCCTTCTCGCTCAAGCCCTGCTTGGTTCTTTTTGCTCTCCTTCTGGGCTTTCTTCCTCAGCAGAGCAGCACTTGCCTTGGCTTTCTTCATTGCCTCGCCAGACTGAGTCCCAAGACTGTGCCAGTCCTACAAGAATCAAGGCACAAACGGTCAGGGAACCTTCACAGCTAACAAGTGGCTGACGGCTCGCTTGGGGAGCTCAAGTCACCCGCCCGGGCAGCTTTGGCTGCCAGCACTGGAAACCGCCTTCCTGCCATCAGGGCACGCCGGAAACTCCACCTCTATCTCCTTCCCCAAAGTCCCATACGAACTGGAACCCAAAGCCATCTCCTGCAAGGCAGCGCCTGCACACGGCTTGGACACTGCCTGGCAGCACACACAGCACAGCAGCAGAAGCAGCAGATGAGCTTGCACCCCAAGGCTCCTGGTGCGCATCAGGAACACGCGCACACGGAAGGAAGGGCAGGACAAACAACGGCACTCTCAGCAGTGCTGGGGCACAGCACCGTAGGCCACAGCTGCAGATTGTTCTCTCCCTGCCCATTGCCCGTGCCTTTCTATCAGCCTCAGAGAGCACGACTTACTGGCTTATGGCACCTGGAAACCGGCACGATTACAGAGCAGCTGCAAAGCGGCTCCGCAGAAGAGACCGCGGCGCAGCACGTTCTCCGCCAGCGTGGGCTTGGGGATCTCAGCTGGGAGAAATGCCCTTCAGCACCACACAGCAGGCAGCCCGCTGCTCTCCTGCTCTCAAGGAGGCTGCTTTCTACAAGAGGGGAGAAGGAGTCGTTATTCTCTCGCGCACACTGCTGTGACAGGCGCACTTAGAGCTGTTCTGAGCATCTCCTTGCTCTACTGACCCAATGACAAACAAGGACACGAAACTTGCAGCTGCGTCGTCTTTTACCGCCTGCAGAGGAAACGATTCCTCAAACTTGAGCATTGCTCCACTTGCAGGCGAGGGGAGCAGGAGCTGAAAAGGACAGGTGGGCATAAAAGAAGGGCAGAGCTTAACAGAAAGCAGACCTGCTGCAGACAGTGCCACCAGCTGTGTTTGAACAGCAGTGCCTTAGCGCACGCTCACAGTAAGGCACACCTACCTTGCAAGGGCCGCTCAGGAAGGTTGTGACACAGGCACCCGTTGCTCCATTGCTCCCCTGAGCCCCAACTCCATTTCTCAGCCACTCACATGCCTCGATGTTCTGCAACAGTCACAAGACAGAAATTCAGTTCATCGCAGACGTCCTCAAACCTCCCTTCTCAGGGCAGTCGCACTCATTTCTCTGCATGAGAACTCGGGGAGGGCTTACCGAGTGAGCAGCATTTACTGCCACTTGGGAGCAGGAACCTCTGCCCAACTCTAACCTCCTAACAGGAACCTCTGCCTAACTCTAACCTCCTAACAGGAACCTCTGCCTAACTCTAACCTCCTAACAGGAACCTCTGCCCAACTCCAACCTCCTAACAGGAACCTCTGCCCAACTCCAACCTCCTAACAGGAACCTCTGCCCAACTCTGACCTCCTAACAGGAACCTCTGCCTAACGCTAAAACTGAACTGAACACTAAAGCTAAGCTAACACTAAAATCAACAACAAAGCCCAGAAGTGGCACCTAACTCCTACAGGGGGAAGATGGAACCGGGGGCCCGCAGAACCGCAGAGGAGCAACAAGGTGGAGGAGGAGCAGATGTCAGCAATGCCACCCAGCTAATGCCGGGGGCTGCGCAGAGGGTAAGGAGCCGAGCGCCCGGACCAGCGATGGCGGAGCTGTGAGCGCGCCAACACGGGGCCTGGCACGGTGGTGTGGTGCCAGGCCAGCTGTGCCGCAGGCGGATCCACCTCCATGGGCTCCCCATGGTCGCTCACATCGCTGGCCTGGGCACGATGGAACCGGGCTCCCTTCCTCCTCTCCCTCCGCTGCCTGATGTTCATGGTGGGCCCCCTCCTCCTCATCGGTTCTGGGGCCCCCAGCTCCCTCTTCCCATTTAGAACTATGCTCTCCTCAGCTCTCGCTCTCTTCGTGCTGGACATGGCTGCCACCTGCCCAGCACGCTCAGAGATGAGTGCGCCGAGTGGGGCAGCAGTGACCAAGGTGACGGCTGTGATATGAGGAAGGTTCCACAATGGCACCTGTGCTGCTGCTGGGAGTGGCGTTCTGCACGGGATGAGCAGGGGGCTGGAGGACACGGCACGGTGGCCAGAAGGCGCTCCCTGTGCCCAGCGGGCAGCCCTTCTCTGCGGCGAGCAAGAGGGCACAGAGGAGCCAAAGCCGAGGAAAGGGCCCTCGGCCTCCTTCGCCCTCTCCCTCCTGCCACGTGGGAATCCCCTTCTGGGGCTGGGCCACGCAGCACACAACACTCAGGGCACGCTCAGGGATCTCCTGAGGTCAGCGCAAACAACGGCGCGCTCCAGAGTGGAGCTGAAAGCGCCTGCCTGCGGGGAGACAGCAGCCCCGGCTTCCATTTCTTCTTAAACCTGGGTTTTTCCCCTTAAATATGGCTTTTTCTGCCAGAAATCCCTGTTTTTTTTCCCCTTAAATCTGGGGTTTTCTACCATAAATCCCTGTTTTTCCCCCTAAATCCACGTTTTTTCCTCTTAAATATGGCTTTTTCTGCTACAAATGAAAGTTTTTTCCCCTTAAATCTGGGTTTTTCCTCTTAAATATGGCTTCTTCTGCTAGAAATCCCTGTTTTTCCTACTTGAATCTGGTGTTACTCTCCTTAAATATGGCTTTTCCTGCAAAAAAATCCCTGTTTTTCTTCTTAAATATGGCTTTTTCTGCTAGAAATCCCTGTTTTTCCCCTTAAATCTGGGGTTTTCTCCCAGAAATCCTTGTTTTTCCAATTATATCTGGGTTTTTTCATTTAATATGGCTTTTCCTGCAAGAAATCCCTGTTATACCCCTCAAATCAGGGCTTTTTCCCCTTAAATATGGCTTTTTCTGCTAGAAATCCCTGTTTTTCCCCTTAAATATGGGATTTTTCCCCACAAATATGGCTTTTCCTGCCAGAAATCCCTGTTTTTCTCCTTAAATATGGGATTTTTCCCCTCAAATATGGCTTTTTCAGCTAGAAATCCCTGCTTTTCCCCTTAAATCTCGGGTATATGCCCATAAATATGCCTTTTTCTCTTAGAAATCCCTGTTTTTCTCATTAAATCTCATTTTTTTTGCCATGAAATATGGCCTTTTCTGCTAGAAATCCCTGTTTTCCACCTTAAATCTGAGGTTTTTACCATAAATCCCTGTTTTTCTGTTTAAATCTTCGGTTTTTCCCAATAAATATGGCTTTTTCTCCTAGAAATCCCTGCTTTTCCCCTAAAATCTGGGGTTTTTCCCCTTAAATATGGCTTTTTCTGCTAGAAATGCCTGTTTTCCCACTAAAATCTGGGGGTTTTCCTTTTAAATATACCTTTTTCTCCTAGAAATCCCTGTTCTTCCCATTAAATCTGGGGTTTTTCCTCTGAAATAAGGCTTTTTCTGCCTGAAATCCCTGTTTTTTTTCCTTAAATCTGGGGTTTTCTAACAGAAACGTGCCGTGCTCCTGACTGATGGCAGTCCGAAAATCTCCCTCTCCCTCCCCCCAGCCCACGAAGGCAGCAGTTCTCCCAAGCAACCAACACAATCACACACAACTGCAGCCCTGGCTCGTCCCGACAACGGACGTCCAGACGAAGCACATCTTCACAAACCTTCTGCCAGCTCCGCACCCTCCGGCCAACACAGCGCCCGGGCGCCTTGCTCCACTGCCCGCCCGGGCTTTGCTGGCGACAACTCGGCCCTACGGGGCCTCCTCCTTCACACGCCCCAAACACCAACACAGCTCCGCACTCGCACGGCCTTCCCTGAGAGGAAGCCGCCCCCCGACCCCGCACCACCCGCCGGCGCCGCACGCATCGCCTCTGCGTGCCGGCAGCACCGCCAGCTCCTCCCCCGAGCGCCCCTCCATGGCCCCGCACCGAGGCCCGACCCCGTTCCCAGCACACAGCCCGCTCCTCCCGGCCCCGCTCACCGGCCCGGCGCCGCCATGCCGCGCTGCCCCGGAAGTGCTCTCCGCCGCCAGGAACCACTTCCTGCCCCGGCCCTACCAACCGCCTGCGGCGTCGCGTTGCTGAGGGCGGCCTGGGGGCGGCCCGGGGCCTGGAGGAGGGGGACGGGCAGCTGGCGGGGTCCGCTGCCGGATTCCCCTCGGGTGGCGCCGGCGGCACGCAACTTGTCTTCTTCTCCTTTTCTGCCTTTTCCCTTTCCCCCCTTTTGCTTTCCTTTGCCTTGCTTCTCTTTTCTCTTCCTTTCCTTTTCTCTTTCTCTCTTCCCCTTCACATTTCCCTTTCTCTTTCCTTTCATTTCTTACTGTCGTCCCCTTCCCTCCCCTCCCCCCCCATTCCCCTCCCCTCCCCTCCGTTTGCTTTCTGTCCACACTCAGTCTGCACATCTGCAATGGACATGCCTGGAGAAGATCACCTATGCAGGCAATAAATGGCTTGTGCTGTGCTTCACCGCTTTGTGCTCTTGAAAGACTGATTTGTTTTGCCCTTTCCTAACCCCCAGGTCTCAGGAGGGCTCGGCTGGCTTTGCTGCGGAGCCTTATCACCCCACAGTCTGAAGACTTGGGGGAAAAGCCCAGCAGCTCCGTAGCTGCCAAGGGAAGACTTCATGCCCTGGCCTTCACACAGCCCGCCTCTCCCCGCTCTGCTCTGCGCTCCTGCCATCCCCTGCAGCCCCTGTGCTGCGGCAAACACGAGCGCGGCTCGGGCCCAACGCCCTCCCTGCTGCACGCCCTCTCACGGCCCCATGTGCTGCAGCCACACCACTGCCCCAGCCCCGCAGCCCTCCTGCCCGCAGCGCAGCCCCACGCACCGGGCTCGGCCCCAGCCCCGAGGAGCTGATGGAGGCGACTCAGCCCCGCTGCATCCACACCCAAACCTAACGCACTAACCGCTCCTCAATACTCCGTTTCCCTCCTTTGCAGCCAGCTCCTTGGCTGCACGCAGCCCCACAATCCGCTCTTTCCTCTCCAGCAGTGCAGCACGCAGGCAGGCAGCAGAAGGCAGGGCCGCGTAGCACGCTGGACCGAGAAGGAGCCGGAGGGCACAGCCCGCCCCGCGGGCTGCTTCTGCTAACACGGATTTGTCAGGCAGGAGCAACCCCTCGCCAGCACAAGCAGCAGCATCCCCCAGTGAGGCTGCAGTTACAGTTTACAGTTATTTCTTTATTATTTCGGAGGAACCAGATAACATTTAACATTTTTATCTTTAATAACACGCACAGAAAAATGACGAGAGCAAGGATCAGATGAAAGCAGCTCCTGAACTGCGACAGCTGAGAGATGCAACAGAGCCTCGATGTCTGCATTCAGGCACAGCACCTCTGTCGCTGCCTGAGACAACAAAGAGACGTGATGGAAAAACACTCCAACCTCTGAGGCAATTATAAGCATGCAGCAGATGTATTTTCAGTGAATCACTGTTCAGAGAAAGCAGCAGAGAGGTAAAACGCCCTACAAAGGTTCTACTTTTTGAAGGAAAAAAAAACAAAAAACAATTGTGACAATAACTGAATTCCTTACAAGACAAGGATCACACACATTCTAATTCCGTTCCCAGGTGTAAAACCAGGCACCAACCAGGCATTACCCCGTGTTCCCAGCACTGCCTGTAGCTTCCAGAAGGCAGATCTGAACACAGGCCGGGCACTTCTGCTAACACGGATTTGTCAGGCAGGAGCAACCCCTCGCCAGCACAAGCAGCAGCATCCCCCAGTGAGGCTGCAGTTACTGAATCGAGGGAAATCCTTTCGTGCTGATAAAACTGCCATCACAGAACTGCTCGGTCAGAGGGGTGAAAAGGAGGGAGCCCAGCAGGCAAGATGGAACAGCTCCCTGCACAGCCCTCCCATCCCGTGGGACAGAGCAGCCTGGGGAGGAACAGGGCTCTCGGAGCGCTGCACGCTGCTGATGCCGCTCCCAGTACTGAGCTGAGCACACAAAGGAAATGCAGCACAAGACAACGTGCATCACTTCTTAACGTGGGCTGTGGCATTCTGCAGAGCGCAGGCACATTTCGGTACAAGGCAGAGCTGTGTCTGCCACATGGGACTAACTGGGGACACAAACACTGGGCACAAATTCTTCAACTCTGCATGCAGTTACAAGACCTTTTCAAGGCTACTGAAAAACATTTTCTTTCTTATTCCGGAGGAACCAGATAACATTTAACATAACATTTTTATCTTTAATAACACGCACAGAAAAATGACGAGAGCAAGGATCAGATGAAAGCAGCTCCTGAACTGCGACAGCTGAGAGATGCAACAGAGCCTCGATGTCTGCATTCAGGCACAGCACCTCTGTCGCTGCCTGAGACAACAAAGAGACGTGATGGAAAAACACTCCAACCTCTGAGGCAATTATAAGCATGCAGCAGATGTATTTTCAGTGAATCACTGTTCAGAGAAAGCAGCAGAGAGGTAAAACGCCCTACAAAGGTTCTACTTTTTGAAGGAAAAAAAACAAAAAACAATTGTGACAATAACTGAATTCCTTACAAGACAAGGAAAAACCAGACAAAAGCCATCACTGATGACACTTTTTAAATTTAATGTGACCAGACTTTTTCAAGTAACTTAGAAAATAAGAGAGAACAACAGGACAGGAAGGTTTCATATTTAGTCATTCATACAGACAACAAGAACACCTGCTTTGGTTCCTCCAAAACATCGCAGAAGTGGCACAGCAGAGTTAATACCAGAGCTCTACTCTTTAGCATTAAATTAAAAAAAAGAAAGTTGGGCAAAGGGAAAAAAGCAGATCAAGTGAGTGCAATTATTCAGTTGGATTCTGGATGCCAATCATGAAGTAGTCTTTATCTGGAAGGGAAAAGAAAAAAAAACAAATTATTCTCTCATTGTTGATACTTATTCACAAAGAAAAGCATCCCTGTTGCTCAATACAGGAACTTCCAGCTTTGTCTCTTTCTGGTATCTCACTGACACGCTGTCCTGACATTCATCCCCAGTGATCAGAACAGGTTTGACGTGTTGGATCCCTTATCTGAGTCTCGTGGTGGAAAAGTCTCACGTGCTCAAGAGCCACATTTAACACCGTTCATCCCTAATAAGTGAGAATAACTGACACGTGCAATGATTGAAGCAAACCAGGCAGCGCAAGACAGCGATTTCCCATATCTCACAGCCAGGCTGCAGGACCGAAGGGGTTCCAGCTGCGTTTGTTCTGGAGTAATGGTTATTTCTCTTTCCACCTTTCGTATGGAAATGAGGGGATGCACCAGCACAAACCCCAGAGCCTCTTCCCCAAGCACTGCTCCCACCGGCTCCTGCACAGCTGCCTGCTGGAGCACCAGCCTCCTGCTTTGCCTCCCCACCAGCAGAATGCCACTACAGTCCAAAGGAACAAAGCTGAGTTCTTGCACCATTAATGCAACTCATCCCTGTTTCATAGCTGGCCGAAATGCCCAGGAGTATCTCCAGAAAGAAGGCTGCTGCCACATTCTGTGACCCAGTACAGCTACAAGTTAAAATCCTTTCCTCTGAGCCAGAAGTGGAACGAGTACTCACAGGTACTGAGTGAGCCAGCCAGGACAGAAGCCCTCCTGCACTTCAGCTACGAAGAGGGAAGGCCCTATGGGAGCTGTGACAGCAGGCAGCCGTCGTGGCCACAGGGATCATGAAGTGGTTGAGTTCAAAATTTTTAGTGCAAGGAGGAAAAAAAAAGGCAGAATTGCCACCACGAACTTTTAAAGAGAGCAAACTTTAAGCTTCTCAGGGAGCAAATTAGCAGTGTCCCCTACAATTCTGCTCTCCAGTATCCAGGGGCCCACGAGAGCTAGTCACTTCTCAAGAAACACCTTTCAAAAGCCTGGGAGCAGGCAATCTCACTGTGCCATGTGCCAAGCAAGCGGGGCAGCTGGCCTGGATGAAGAGGGAACACCTGGAACTGGGGCAAAACAAGAAAGCACACAGCATCTGGAAGCAAGGTCTGGTTTCAGAGGGAAAGTACAGAGCTGCAGTTCGGATCTGCAGGGAGAAAACAAGAAAAGCCAAAGCTGTGCTTGAGTTGATGCTGAGCAGTGTGGTGTGAGACAACAAAAAGGCTTTTGCAGGTTTGTCAGCAGCAAGAGGAGGTCAAAGGAAAACAGGGGACTGATACTTGGGGTGAAAGGTCACCTCACAGGTGGAGACGTCTAACGCCTTTTCTGCCTCAGCATTTAACAACAGCAACAGATCTTGGTTTGCCTGGACCTCTCGGTTGGAGGACATCACAGGGGAAGCAGTAACTTTCAATGAGCAGACATTACAATTGTAGGGATGCAGCTGTACCAGCTGAACGGCCATGGTCCATGGAGTTTGGCAGGACTTGCTTCTGAGGGAATTAGCAGATGTTACAGCTAAGTGGCTGGAGCAGCTCAGTGGGAAGGGACTGAGGGCGCTGGTGGCAGCAGGCTCAGCAAGAGCCAGCAGTGTGCCCTGGCAGCTGAGAGGCAAACGTTTTGGGGTGTATTACACAAAGCACAACCAACAGGTCAAAAGAGGTGATTCTTCCACAATATTTAGCACTGGTGTGGCCTCAGCTGTGGCCTCACTGTGTACAGCTCTGGGCTCCACAACATAGCAGGGTTATTGAGGTTCTTGGAAGCATGCTGAGGAGGACACAGAGCAGCAGGGAGACGAGTGCTGTGAGGAGAGCCCGAGGGCACTGGGGTTGCCTGGTCTGAAGAACAGGAGGCTGAGAGGCGGCCTCACCGTGCCCTGCAGCCCCTGAGGAGGGGGAGCAGAGGGAGCAGCTGGGATCTGCTGCTGGGAACCAAGGACGGGACGTGCAGTGACGGTCCAACCTTGTGCCAGTTCCCAATTGAACTGTCCCATGTCAATGCATGACACTGGTTTGTAAGTTCAGCACTCAGCGAGGTGAAACCGGTCTCGAAACATTTCCTTCCGACTTTCTGGATTCCATATTGAAAAACACAAAGCCTGAGAGGCTGCAACACGCTGTCAAATGCTAATTAACCATTTCTACTCCGAGAAAATTAAACGAGGAAAGTGATTTCGCACACTGCGGCATGAAAAAGCAAACTAAGGTCAGTGATAAAATTTCCAACTGAAGAAAGCAATGAAGGGCAAAGCCTTTGGAAAAGAGCAGAGTAGGTAACATGAATAAAAGCAGCATGCAGAACGCATTTCTCAGGCTCACAGCATCTCTACCGCAGAGAAGCCAACAGGTGACTCTGGCAGACCTCACGAGAGAACTATCTGCTGGGTGCTTTCAGCCTGCTTCCTCTTACCTGGAGCAACCATGATCTCATTTTTCTTGGTGCGGATCCGCAGGAAGGTGAGGTCATTTTGGGGATC